TTTTAAGTTAAAGAGAAACACAAAAAGATCCTGATTTTCTGTTTCGTCCACTTGTTCATATTTCTGCTTTCTTTAAACAAACAATATTTTAAATATTTAAAAATATTTTTTGGCATTTTTAAAAACTATTTTCAACTGAATATGATTTAGAAATATTTTTTGGCATATTTTAAAAATATTTTCAAGTGAATATGATTTAAAAATATATTTTGGCATATTAAAAAATATTTTCAAGTGAATACGATTTAAAAATATTTTTTGGCATATTTAAAAAATATTTTTAAGTTAATCTGATTTAAAGTTCATGTTTATCCCGGATTTTTTTTCCTATTAAATACTGTAAACAATCAGTAAAACGTTAAACCTGAATTTGTAAACCAGACCATTGATGACACGAACGAATTGAAATATCTAGGTGAATTATATTAAAATTAACTTTCATTTGAATGGTATGTTGAAATCAACTTCAATGTTTTCTAACCTGAAACGTCAGTGACCCAAGGAAACACAGGTCGACTAGTATCATATAAATACGTTGAAAATGAAGAAGTAAAGGAATTATAATTGATTATCTAATAAAACAAATGTTGCTGACATAATCGGACCATCATATATATAGTAGTAATACATCGGACACTGCGTGAATTCAGAATGGTTACCGGTATGGAAAATAGAACCAGAGGAACGGATTTGAAAAACCGGTTAAAGGTGTCCATGTTGATTGAACACTAATGCCATAGCGAAACAAATCCCCATCCCAATGCTCTATCCCCTGAGAGCAACAAAAATAACTTGTCAATGTCTCTATAGCTGAAGGAGAAAAACTTGATTGTGTTGGGTAATTTATGTCTTCAATAACAAACTTCAAGGCAGTATTTACAGTTAGCGTTAATGACACCCATCGTTATAATGTTGAAGATCATTTTCGTCTCTGTGCGCCTATATATAAAATTATTAATTATTTTTGTTTGTTTTTCTATAGAAAGCATTACAAATAATTTAATTATAAAACTGCATTGCAAATAATTTTATGTAGTAAAGCACTAAAAACCAAAAAGAAATGGAACCGTTGAAATTAACGCAGACATTACGAAAAGAATAGATGTATGTTATGTTTATGTTGTCATTGCATTGCTAATGATTTTCCTAATAGAAATCATTGTAAATTATATTAGTATAATGGTGCATTAAAATCATGAAGAAAGGGATTTTAAATTGTCAGAAATGAGAAGATGTGAAATTTAAAGTATGTAAATAATATGGTTATAAAAAAAAAACTGAGAGAAAGAGAAAATCGTGAAGAAGAGAGATAGAGAATGAAATGGAAACAAAGAAGAAAAACAACGTAAATGAATAAAGTGAAAGAAAAAGAAAAGAAAGAAGGATAAAGAAAAAAGAAAAAGTATTAAGAGAAAAAAGAAGAGGAAAAGAAATTTGAAAAAATTAAAGAATTAAAAGTAATATGATAAGAAAATGAAAGAAAGAAAGAAAGAAAGAAAGAAAGAAAGAAAGAAAGAAAGAAAGAAAGAAAGAAAAAGTATGCCTGAATGAATGAATGATTTAAAAGAAAGGAATGTAGAGTGGGCGAAAAATATAGGAGTTGAAAAATGTAAAGAAAGAATAAAAGGAAATTTAAGGGATATAGGAAGAAAAATCAGAAAGAAAGAAAGAAAGAAAGAAAGAAAGAAAGAAAGAAAGAAAGAAAGAAAGAAAGAAAGAAAGAAAGAAGAAAAAAAGAAAAAAGAAAGAATGATTTGAAGGAAAGGAAAGTGGCGGAAAAGAACAGATTTGAGAGATGAAATGAAGGATAAAATGGAAAACAAGGTTTATCGTCAGAAAAATAAAAAATAAAAAGAAAGAAAGAAAGACAGAAAGATAGAAAGGAAAAAAGAAAGAAAGAAAGAAAGAAAGAAAGAAAGAAAGAAGAAAATGTCAAAAAGTAAGTATGCAAATAAATAATGGTAATTGTTAGAAGTGAATTAACAAATTATGTCCAGAACAATAATCTTAAGAAAGACAATTTAAACAAAAAAATATGCAAAATTGATTATCTCCGCCGATAGCCAGCATTCTTATAAAAAACAAAAAATGTCAATGGAGAAGAATCGGTAGTGTTTCTATCAGTTTGGCTGAAAAGATTTCAGAATCCCTCGCATTTAATTAGCATCCCCTCAAGGGAAGAGTATTATTTTGTATTCCTTAGAGATGTGTCTTGATTATACATGACCTGGGCCCTTAATTAACTTTCAACAAACGAGATTCCATAAAAGCAAATTTCGAATGGTGAGTGCTACTTTTGAATGTTTCAAAACAATTTCCTCTATTTTAGATGGGGAAAAGGTTATTATAGGGTCCAATTATATTTCTCAAACACGCGATGCTTTCAATTATAAATATTTAATTTCATTCTAAATTTCTGAACTTGTCAGACAATGACATTGTTGAAAATTTTTAATACATTTCATTTTTCGTTGAAAAAGTTAATGACAGCGAATAAAAATGAATAAATAAATATCACTGTAAAACAATAATTTAAAAAATTGTATGTACCCAGTCCGATGAAATAAAATGAATATAGCTAGCTCAACATCTTTAAAATCATCAATCACGTGATTTGATTACGTCAAAACCATTCTCTGCTGCAAGCTAATGATATCTGTTATAAATTAAAGTCATTTTTTGAAAAAAAAAAAAAAACACACCCAGATGACAACAAAGATGAGAAAATCATTGTTAATTTGGAAGAGTGTTTTTTTGATATTATCCTTCCTAATTTTACACCAAGAATTACACCACTGAATTTCTTACTGGAAGCATAGTCAAACTTATTCCATATTTATTTTGTTTTAGACCTACTAGTAATAATCTTAGACGTTTTTATTAATTTTTTACTAGTATTATTTTCATCTTATTTCTCTGGCTTTTACATTTTATAATAATAGTCTTAAGATGTCTGAATTTCTTACATGATTACTATTAATCTTTTACTAGTAGACTTTTCATTTGATTTCTTGGCTTTTACATTTTATAATAATAGTCTTAAGATGTCTGAATTTCTTAGATGATTGTTATTACTATTTTACTCGTATTCCTTTCATCTTATTTTTCTTGCTTTTACATTTTGTAGCACTAGTCTTGTATGCATTTCTTAGATGTTTTATTAGTATTCCTTTTGCATCTTGTAGTAATAGGTTTAAGTTGTCAGAATTTCTTAGATGATTGCTATTAATTTTTACTCGTATTTCTTTCATCTTAATTCTCTTGCTTTTACTTCTTGTATCAATAGATTAAGTTTCTTAGAAAATTGTTATTCATCTTTAACTAGAATTTCAATCATTTTAATTCTTTTTCTTTTAAATCTTGTAGTAATAGTTTTAATTTGACTGAATTATTTAACCGGATTTTTACTATTTTAGTATTCCTTTAATCTTATTTTACTTGTTTTTACTTGTAGAATAGTCCTAAGTTGTCTGAATTACTTAGATGATTATTATTAATCTTTTCCTAGTATTTTTTTTCATCTTATTTCTCTTGCTTTTCCATCTTGTAGTAATAATAGTCTTAAGTTGTCTGAATTTCTAAGAGAAAGCTTTGTCGGTTATTATTGCTTTTCGACTATTCATTTTATTTCTTTTCATCTTACATCGTTTATTAATAATAAAATATGTAAGATTGCATTACACCATAAAACCCTTCCAAAAACTACAAATAATTCCCATTTTTTCTCACGAAAAACATGGCTTCCATTAATTCCCAGCAAGTGAATTGAACTCCGATGAGAAAGAGAAAAAAATCAATAAACAAATATAAATGTACATCAAGATACTTCAAGCAGTAGTTCATTCTTTTGTCAGTAAATGTTTGGTTTGTAAGAGATTTCTAAATTAGTAGCAGAATACGAAATGTGTATAATAAAAAAGAATATACATTAATATTGTTTATTATTATACAGTGATTATTTTGAAATACTTTTCTTTTCTATAACTTTTGCTTTTCTTTGTCTGATGTTTTTTTTTATCTGATTACAGCATCGCGGTTCCCCCCCCCCACTCTTAGGTTTTTGCTTTCTTTAATGAAACTTTTCAACTTTTGTTGTCTGAGAGGATTTACTCGAGTCGTGGGGTTTTGTCTTTTCAGATGTCTGGTCGTCCTTGAATGTCTTTAGAATGTTTCTCTCTCTCTCTCTCTCTCTCTCTCTCTCTCTCTCTCTCTCTCTCTCTATTTATCTATCTGGTGAGCTGCTCTTGCAATTCCTGAAATGTTACTATTATACGTTGATTTTTCGAAATATTTTCATTATAATTTTTGTCTTCATTTCACACTTTCTCCCGCTTAAGACACCATCATTTATTTTTGAATTTTGTTTTCAACATTGAGTTTAAACTATGTTTACTTTTTTATGGTCTTTATTTCAATGTTTTCTTCCGATCAATGTACCTTCCAGTTGTCTAAATTATATTAATATTATACATTGATTCTTACGGACCATACTTCAAGACTTTCTTTTCTTCAGTTTCAATGTTAAGCGGCGGTCAAAGCGAAAAGCTACTCTAAGTCCGAGAGCCAAGCGACTCTGTGTGCGCATACCGTCCGTCCCAGGAGCGTCGGAAACTTTCAACTACAGTGTAACCCGGATATAAGAGAGTTGTCGGGACCGAAGAAGAAGTCTCTTATATCCGGGTTTGGTCTATTTTGTTTAGGTAACACAGGCTCTAATTTGGGACCAGAGAAAATCTCTCTTATATCCGGGTTACACTGTACTTTCTCCCGCATAATTCTTCGTTATAAATTTTGCTGGTTATACAAAACCAGAAAATATTTTTAGATTGTAAGAATTTTATGGCGGTAATAATGATTTACTGATACAAGTCTTCCTAATTAATCCATAGCGGGGAGAAACAGATGTGAATTCATACTTTTCTAAAGTGTATGTAAATATAACGAACCCGACGGGAATTGGAACACGGCTCTCCATGCTCTAATTCCGAATCGTTATTTGTTACACCACTTGTATTCCCAAGCGGTCACCCATCTAGATACTGGTCGGGCTCGACGTTGCTTAACTTCAGTGATCGTACGACAACCGGTGTTTCAACGTGACATGACAGTAAGCCGATAAAGATGATAAAATTTCCTACCATTCTATCCTGATTGATTCATAGTGATGAAATACGTCATTTCTTTCCGAGCATTCTAATACATAAAGATTGGAATGTATTGTAAAAAAAAATGGAACCTAAAAAAACAAACAAGATATTGTGAAGTTACTGAGTGCAGAGAAAGACATTGGGAATTGCAAATAGGTTGCATAAAGATCACAAATCAATCAATAAAGAAATTGAAAACGTTGGTAAGATTAAAACAAGAGAGAATTGGTTTTTTGAATGCCGTAAAAAGAGATTTGAAAAAAAAAAGAAAGATAATCAAATAAAGTGGATTGACTCACAAGGAAATATTTTAAATTTGCGTTGCAGAGATAAAGTGATATAGAATATTAAGAAGATTAGCTGAAGACATGAAAGTAACCAAATTAACATTCTTAAATCAACATCACAGATAAACCCGTAATATCACTTATATTGGGCGGCATCAAATAGATCGGGGGAGGGGGGGTCCAAACCGCGACTCGCAAGCCACATGCGGCTCTTTGACATTTAATATGCGGCTTTTTGACCTTTAACAAGCGGCTCTTTGACCTTTAACATGTGGCTCGTTGTAATATGTAGGCTAGGTTCCTGTTTTCATCACAGTTAATATAAAAAGGTAAATAAGAAAAAATTCAAGCTTTATAATTATTTACTGGGTATGAATTGAGGCCCAATTAGATTCAAACGTAAGTTTAATTTTATTGTGTATGTAACAAAAAACGTATGCGTAAATTTTGTTCATTGCTTGCGGCTCTCAATACACCTTTATTGTAGGTGGCTCTTAAATAAAGCAAGTTTGACAGAGTTCTAAATCGTTTACGTGGACGTGTGTGAAATGAGTTATTTCCCACAATACAGTCACTTTCCGCCATAGATATATCGTCGCAAACCATGGCAACGTTCTTTAGTAGTAGCAACTAAGACTTGCACAGTTAAGGCCCTTCTTGCTAACTCCACGGCGTTGAATCACCCTCATTTCCTACATATTCCGTTAAGATCTACTTAAATAACCCTACTTTGTGACACACGAGGATGCTTCCCCGAACATTATAATCTTAATCTTTTTTATATATATAATGTCATTCGTAATCTTCTGTATCTTCTATTGTGGTTCCTATTTCCTACACTTAAATTCATATATCACACTGCATTTAGTAAGCATCTACCTTGAATGGCTCTTGAGGCTTGTATTTATTGGTGTATTTTAAATCTGAAAAATGCAGTAAATACGCTAACCTGAATGATACCCCCATTAGTTGTGAATATTTCATTAAAAAGACGCGCTGATTTAGAAGGTCCTTGCCGAAAATACGAAATCATCGCGAAATTAGCAATACAATTTACAATGGCGGTAAAAATAAGTTCCTTGATGAAAGGGGAAAAAACATTAAAGAACCTTTTACAAAAAACAAAAATATTTATCTATTGATTCTTCTTTATCTGTGTGCCGTGTCCCTCCAGGACATGGGCGATCACGACTCTCAACAGCTTCCTCTCTTTTGTAGTCCTTTGTAAATCTTATCTTTATGCTATACCTCTCAATTCCTGTTCTGCCAACCATTTACACAAACGCGTGTCCTCTGTCTCTCTTGCCTTGTTCGTCGATTAATATCTGCACAGATTGGAGAGGTGCAACATAATTGGTGCCAACCGAGGCTTGAAAGTCGTCGCTATTCGTCTATACCTGGGCCGAAGAGAAGGCGTGATACTTTTCCCAGCACCCCTTCTACATAAGTGAACGCAACGGGTCAGAAATCGATCCCAATGCCTGCGTTGAACCCAGCTACAAGACTAAAAGATTTGTTCCACGAATTTCAGCGATAACATGACAAATAGATGGGATACATCAGCCAAACCTTTTGTTGGACTAAAAACAATGGGTCGGTTAACAGGATTTGTTCATGTAATTGAATTGAGAGAATCACAAACAAGTCGTTAAATATAAAGCATTTTGAAAGCATTTTGGTTGGATTAAAAGAGGATAGAATATTGGACAATACCTGGCAGAGACCAAAGTTGAAAAGTGAGCTATTTAGCAGTTTTCTGCTTTATTAAAGTTTTTCGCTAGTCCCATTTTGCAACAGGATGTGGATAGTGTAATGGGTTCCAATCGGGTTCGTTGCATTTATTTAAGCTCACATATTTGGGGAATGTTTAAATCTATCTCTTTCTCCATCTATGGGTTAAATGGTAGGATTTATATTATGAAAAAAATCACTGTTGTTCTCAAAAGAATTCATAATGCTATATTCACTCGTAAAAATAGAATTATTCCTAAAATCCCCAAAATTGATTCGGCTTTCACTAATCCACGAAAGGTGGATAAGCAATAAGAACATAAATTAAAAACACATTTTACAACAATTATAAAACTAATTTTGTAAAATAATTTCATCAGACTTCATATAACACAGAAAGATCATTTTAAAATTAAATTTAACACGCCTATTTTTTTTATTGTTTTAGGTTAAAGAATTTTTTTAATTACTGTGATAATTTTGACAAATTGAATGAAACGCATTCTCGAGCTGATTACCAATTCTTCTGCCAGTCTTTAGGTTTCAATTAGAAAATCCTTAGAAACAAAAAGGTATACAGGTAACGAGATCAATACTCTGTCTATCTTCATGTTTCTTTTTAGCTTTCATACATTTAGTCCCAATACCGGAAACCGTTCATCGATCTGGCGAAAAGACATTAGGTGCAATCCGATCGATTATCGAATTTAGACGAATTGTTCCTTTCGCTAATGCTTCTGTCATCGAGGGACAAAGGTCAAGGGCTGTTTTCTTTGCGCAAGTGCAGAACGAATATAGAAATCAAGAGAAATTGAGCAAGTAAAAAGCAAAAAAAAAAACATGACGGGAAATCATGAGATGTCGGTGGAGAACGGGATTCGCAAGAAATGTCGAGAGATGGAATATCTGTAGACGAAAAACATTTCAATGGCGTCTTCAATCTAACAACGAGACTGCATTGTAAGAAGAGCAGTCTAGAAATTCTGTGTCCACATGCACACAGACACACACGATAAATAGCGAATAAAAGTATTTCCATCAAGCTGGTTATATATCTACACTATTTTTTCAACTGTAAGGTGGAAAATAGATTGCACGCACCTCAGGCTTCCGTGTGGCTTCTGGACGCATCAAGTTGAAACACCGCTTCCTGTACGATGAATGTCGATCCCCCAAGTTAAGCAAATTCAGTACCAAGTGACCGCTTCGGAATGGTACTGTAAGCTTAAATGTGCGGGTGTTTTAATGGATAATGGTTCAGAAATATTTATCGAAATCAGAGTTCCAAGAAAAGGTATGGATCCACCTATTCTCCCCCAGCTACGGGTTAATCAGTAAGACTTGTATCACTAAACCATTATTATGTCAAAAAATTCATTCAATCTAAAAAAATGTTTTGGCTTTAAATAACCTGCAAAGGGTAGATAAGCCGTAGAAAATGAAGCAATCAATCAATGAAATATTGACTAACTACACAGCTTTTAGAGTTATTTACATTTTCTGGAATATAAATTTATAGAAACTACTGTGGCCACAAAGTGAAGGATCAGTTTATATATTGATTGTAATATAGAATTGATCCCCCACCTTATATCCACATTATAATTTATTGCTTGTTTAACAAATTCTGATTATGTATGAATCAACCTCTTCTCTCCCACCTATGGGTTAATTAGTAAGATTTGTATTACTAAACCATTATTATATCAAAAATAATTCTGACAATCTAAAAATATTATCTGGCTTTAAATAGCGGACAAAGGGTTGATAAGCCGTAGAAAACGAATCAATCAATCAAAACCAACTTGATGAGTGATGAGCTATATTAGACAATCTTGCTCTAAACTCACCTACTGCTGCTATGGATGCAGTACATATGTTACTCCTATGACACTAAGGGTTTAAGGGACTCTTGATCGTGGTCGTATTTTAAATGGGTCCCTTAAGTTCACAAATGAGGAAATGCAAAATTTATTATATCTGGGTCTGTATTTAATATAAAAGAAACATTCGTAAACGTCATCATTTAACGGTTTATTCCCATAAAGATATAAGCTCGAGGTAAGCAAGTAACAATTTTTCATGAAACTGACTCGTTAACCATTGCTTCACGTTGCCGCACAGTAATACATCATCATCACCGTCATCATCACTAAGTCCGATGAACGAGTGTGGTCGTATGTTCGCTGCGCAGATGAACACATGACCAGCTCCCATCATATGTCTTTGTTGCGTGTCAAAGTCTGAGTCACTGGGAATAATCTTCCAGTACACTCAGTAACGTTATCAGTCTATTTCTTTTCCTCTGACCGGCATCTTTTTGTTTTCCCTAAGGCAATCTCTTGTAGGGTCCCAGTTGGAAGATTCTTTGATCTTATAGCGTGTGCGTTCCATTCCAACTTCATGGTGCATAGGAAATTTTACAATTGACTCGTTCTTTTTTAATGATTGATGCTTTTGTTTTTGTTTAACGGTATATCCACTCCTCATGGATTATTTAAGCTCGAAATATAATTTTCTTGAGAGGTTTAAAGTAATATAAATATCATATACGTTATTCTGCTTTCTCACTTGAATACATCGAAGATGATACTTAGCGTTTATGTATATATATATATATATATATATATATATATATATAATCATTTTTTAAATATGATTCCATCGCTACACAGGAATTACCATGTTATAAAACAGGAGCTAAAACTTCCAATTCAATTATAGAAATTAAATTAAAGTACCTAGTTTTGTTTCATTTTCAAGCGAATTTTGGAAAATTTGAATATATATATATATAATATAGACTCTACTTGTGTATCGAACACTGTTTTTTAAAAATCAAAAAAAAATTACTAAAGAGCTTCGAATCAACGGAGTCTAGCGGTTCTTTCCTATTTTATCAATATGTTTACGCACATACAAACACACACACACACATATA